ACGGAATGGGAAAGTCAAAGACGGATCCAGTCACGATATCAAAGGAGTTACAAACAAATTGGGGAGGCTGGGAATCTTGACATGGATTGTAACAAATGAGAATGCTCGGTGCAGGCCGGGAATAACAAATACTGACTTAAATATTACAATCATGATTTGTTTATTATACTTATCCCTTTTAAATCTTCCTTCTTGGCAAAGTTATCATTTCAGTCGTCCTGGGTAAGACGATAAACTACATCTGCGTCCTGGGTAAGACGATAAACTACATCCGCGTCCTTGGTAAGACGATAAACTACATCCGACGGCAAGATCAGGAGGTTTTGAGGAGCTTGGAACCACCTCTTAATTGCTGGTGTTCCCAGGTTCACCCTGACCCGGGGTGGTAGCACCTGTCAGTCTCCCAGCCATGGGCAAATAGTGACCTCCCCACCCAAAAGCGGTCAAAACACTGTGAAAATATAAAAATAGGTTTTAATACCAGTAATACTTTTTTGGAGATAAATTTAGCAGCAATACATTTTTGAAAAAAATATTACCATTAATAAAAATCTTGTTGGCATTAAATAACCCATTGAGGTTGATATGCCGTAAAACAAAATAAACCAAACCAATCTAAACCAAAGAATACATATTCTATTCATACGAATCTATCCTAAAAATGTTGTCGGCATTAAATAACCCATTGAGGTTGATATGCCGTAAAACAAAATAAACCAATCCAATCTAAACCAAAGAATACATATTCTATTCATACGAATCTATCCTAAAGATGTTGTCGGCATTAAATAACCCATTGAGGTAGATATGTCATAAAACAAAACAAACCAAACCAAGCCAAACCAAACTATCATTTGAGTTCAGAAATGGGCGAATCCATCCATCCATATAAAAGAGCCAAAGAAACAAGTTAGAAAATGTACTGCACTAAATGACACGGCTGCAAAAAAAAAAAAAAAAAAAAAAAAAAAAAAAAAAAAAAAAAAAAAAGAAAACGAAAATTAAGAAATCGTCGTTATCAAATATCCTGATTAGACAGCTGCGTAGAAAAAGTTAATTTTACCGTTTTCTAATGTTTAATGAATATCTGTCATTTAAAACGGCGTATGAAGCAAGCAAGCGTTGATGCAATATAAACAAATCTGTACTGTTGAAGAGGATGACTCAAACATTAAAAAAAACAGTCTTAATATTTTATTAGGAGTTTTCACTACATTCTATTGTTTTTTCATAACGTTTCCCGCCGATCAATTATTCAGCCTTTAAATTCGTAGTTGTAGTGAACTTCGATAAAAACCAAATAAAATAAAATATAAAAATAAAATATATAAACAAAAATAAAAAAGAATTTTAAGGAATATGCGCTTTCCTTTATTACCATTATCTGTCTCTCTCTAAACTTCTCTTTCTATACTTCTCTCTCAATTAGAGAGAATGCAATTCTCAAATAAAAAGAGGAAGAAGAAGAAGAAAAGACTGATCCCTGCCAAATAACACCGGAAGTTTGTGGGAACGGAGGCTACTAATTTACTAACGGAGCCTAACTTTCCTGGCGGCAGATCTAGTAATTGATACAAGATAATCTTTCCATTTCATGTCATTGGAAAACGTTAGCCCAAAAAGTCGCAAGTAGTCACTCTTCAGGGGATTAATATCAGCCATGCTGATGATTAAAGAAAAACGACAATTGAATAAGGATAAAACGTTTTGTTCGAAGGAAACTCGATATATCAATTCCAACCGTTTCTTCTCGTTTCGTCATTTATTTTCTTTGTCAACTGAGTCTTTCATGTGGCTTCCCTCTGCCTTTTCTACAAATATTTTCATGGCAACTGCTCTGACCAACTACTTTCACTGGTGCCCCAACTGCATGAATTTAAGTGCGCCACTAAGTTGGCATCTTGGACCCACCCTTTTACTATCGAAACAGTTAAATGTAACTGCCTCTTCAACCCTAACAGCTTCTTCTCTCGCACTTCCCGACAGTGGAACTCCCTGCCTCTTACTTGCTTCCCTGATAGTTATGATCAAATATTCAAATGTAATGTCAATCAACATCTTCCGATGCATTGATCTTGATCCCTGTCCTTTTCTTTATCCTTTCCTCAAACACCCCTCTTTACTCATTCTCACACTCTGTAACACCCTAGAGTGCTAGTGGCATTTATGCCTTACTCGGAGGGGAAATGCTTAAAAAATTGCTTTGGTGCTGATTACCGGCTCATTATATCTTGGACAAAATTCGTGAAAGACAAATATGTTGAAATTCGTGAGAAGAGGGCGTGGTACTTTACACCAGGCCTTCCCTAAATTTTTGAATCGCAACCCATTTTTTGTTAAAATATATTAATCGCTAACCCTATCACTCCCGCCAACACACAGCGTTTGGTAAAAGAAAATCAGACCCTTCTTTGTTCGATAGACTTCGGAAATTTGCAATAACATAAAATATTAGTTATTTTCGCTACGGAAGACCAGACGCGTTAACATTTCCTGCTTGAAAAAAACGCTTGCAAGATTTTTTTTTTTTTTTAGGATGAAATTTTACTCCTGAAGCAGTTCCGTCCTTTTTTTACGAAGTCTTAAACTATTTATTTATCGACGTAGACGACTCAGAATAAAAGGAAAATATTCATATTGTTGTGTTTTCCAAATATATGTAGGAGGCCTTGGTAGTATATGCCATCGATACAGATATTTACCCAAACATTTTCAATAATAATAGTGGCTACGTAGTGCAGGGTTAAAAGCTGACACCAAAGGTTTTATCCTTGCTGCACAGGACCAATGCTTGTTAAACAGACATTATCAAGCACACATACTAAAACATTGTGTTAGCCCAAAATATGTGATAAATATCCAGAAACAATTGATAATCTTGTATCAGGTTGCAAGGTATTGGCACCCACTGAATATAAAACCCGGCATGACAGAGTGGGTCAATATCTGCACTGGAAAATCTGCAACTTCTACGGGAAAGAAACTGAAAGAAATTGGGATGGTCCTGTTACAATGTTATAGGACTTCACAATAAACATAGTCAGAGCAATCAAAACTAACCGCCCAGACATTGTTATTAGAGACTGCAAACAAAAAAGTGCCTCCTTATTGATATGGCAGTCCCTGCAGACTGCAATGTATCTTTGAAGCGCTTCAAAAAGCTACCAAAATACAAGGAACTTGAAATAGAAATCTCAAAAATGTGGCACATGGGAACATCAACAATCCCTGTTGTAGTTGGAACCCTCGGTTTGGTTGGAAAAGATTCCAATAGAGTCGTTGAAGGGGTTCCTGGTAACCCATGCCTTAAAGAAATACAAAAAATTGCTCTCACGAGTACAGCCCACACCTTACGAAGGGCTTTATCTATGTAAAATATGTTTTTTTTTAATTGCTCAGTGGAAAATGTCATGATGCCATTTTTAACCTTAGATCTCTGATTGGGTCCCGGAAAGAAATGAGTATAGACCAGAAATCAAAAGAAAATAAAAAAAATAACAACAATAATAATAATAATAATAATGAAATAGCCAGGAATAAGGAACGTAATTGAAGATTATATTTTCTAGAAAAATAATATAGATAAAAAGTGTAGAAACGTATTGTCTGGGCTTCTTCCCTAGGTTTAGGGAGATTTGATTATGGTCAAAAATTAAAAAAAAAATATCTTATTTCTGTTTGTTCTCAAAGTTGGGATTCGTTGGTGGATGAGATAACTTTCTATTTTTAACCGGTGTCACTGGTCGATGTTCAAATCCTAGTAAAACCCAGGATTCTGCATGATGATTTTCAAGGCCAGTAGATCCATTTTTCACTGAGGAAATTACACAGCACAATTTTCCCTTTCTGCTTATTTGCTTTTTTACAGGATTAATTTTGAATTTCTAAAAAATTTTTTCACTTCAATCAAGGCCACAAAGACGCATGGAGGTTACTGAGTGTAAAAGAATGCAAGAAAAAGGAAAAAAAAAACATTATTACGGAGCGAGATCAACAAAAGAACACGAACGAACGATTGATATTGTATTTAAATTTTTGAAGATCAAAGTTGGTCGGAAAGTATGGAGCCGGAAGAGAGTTCCACAAACCAGAAGTGCGAGAAAAGAATCTGTTAGCATAGATCTTACGGTTGCATCTAGCTAATTCAACTGCAAAAAGATGAGACCTTGCCGCCAATCTAGTACTGCACTTAAATTCATAAAGTCTAGGTACCAGGGAGGAAAGTTCATCAGAACAATTAAAATGAAAGTATTTATAGAAAAGCCAAGGGGAAGGTATATGACGATAGTAAAACTAAAATAACCGAAGCCGAGATGCCAGATCAGGACCAATGAACAATCTTTGTATTTTGAACAGTAGAATCACTTGTTTCCTGTTTAGGATTGGGTTTCCGGTTCCTTCTAAATTCTACTTCAAATCTACGCTTCTAATCTCTGAAATACCGACTAAATTATGAAATTTATACTATTATTGGGTTTCTGGTTTCTTCTAAAATCTTTTCCTCCATTTTCCCTTCCAGTAGCCAACTGTGTCTTAGTTCATCACCCCCTGATTCATTTACCAGATCTCACAACTATGTAATAAGATGGGTACGACTGATTGGGTTTCTTCTAACGCCTCTACGTAAACACTACAATTTATACACTTACTGGGTTTCTGGTTCCATGTAAAGTTATTTTCCTTCTCTTTCTCTTCCAGTAGCTCATTGTGTCTTAGTTTGCGATCTCCTTGATTCTTTTTTTCAAATCTCACAATTTGTAATAGAATGAAAGCATTTATAGAATAGGCACAAAATATATCACGACAGTAAGAAAATGGCCGAAGCCGAGATGCCTGGTCAGGATTAATGTCAATACAAATTATTCTTTATGTTTTATCAAGAATCTCTAAATACATAGCAGAAGCGCCAGACAATACGTGGCAACTATATTCAAAGCAAGGACGAACAGTTGACTTATAAACACGTAGGATAATTTGAGGATCAACAAAACGATAAAAGAATGACCTCCATTCCGTTGTTCTTCCCACTTAGCCAGAATTCAAAATTTGCAGCTGTTTCTCTCTCTCTTCGTCTTAACACGCTTAAGTGCAAATTTATTGGTTTTTCTTTCTTTTTGTTTTTAGAAACACGAATGAGTCAGTCAAGTGCAAAAACGCCATTTTCTCCCATTCCTTCTCAAACGAAGGTCAGAAACATATTTCTAGCAGCTCGCTTCTCTAGACTATTATCGGTACTTTGACAGCACAATTTCAGTTAAAGCAGTTGGATTCCCTCCTTACTTTGGCAAAGGCATGAATCCACATTTCTCTGCACGTTGTGTCATTAGCAGCTAGTTTGTCGAAATGTATTGTCACAGGCATGTCACTCTACTTTTATATTTCAAGATTATAGCACTAAAAGCACTTACCCCTATAGTTAACCATGACAATCACACATGCACACACACAGCGTGTATGAAGTCCTCCCCAATGGTTCCATACTGAGTATAACGATAAACTACATCCACGTCCTGGGTAAGACGATAAACTACGTCCAAAAAGCAATGCCTATACGTACATTCATATCTGCTCATGGCGTATCAAATGTAAACAAATGACGTCACACATTATGAAATGGACAAAGTCCGACAAATATTTTAAGACATTACGTGAATGTACATGAGAGATTCATGGAAGATTAAAGTTTAAAGACAGTAAAATCGACCTACCTAACTGAACGCTCCTCTGTGGCCGAAACGGTTAAAGGCACGTCAGGCTATATGACGGTTCCGTATAGGATACAGGTTCGATTCCTGTCGGAGGACGAAAATTTTCTATGAAAATTTCTCGGACATTCAGGTCGTTAAATGTTGTTTAATACTGTTTATTACAAAACAGAGCATTTACTTAAATATTTGTATCTATTAAAAGAATGTATAAACATAAAAATGTCTTTATATACACACAATAATAATAACATTATTAATATTATATATATATATATATATATATATATATATATATATTTTTGTGTGTGTTTTCTTTGTGAATTTGTAGGTTTGACGAATTGGATCGTGATTACGATTCCAATGTAATTATAACAATGGAATATTAGTGTTTGAGCCTTATATATATATATATATAAAAGTGATAGTATTTTGGGGAATTAGAATAATCATTATAGTAATTCATCAAGTCTAGAAGAATCCTCAACAGAATGCAGAAAGCACTGAACAGCTGTTTCGTCCTATTTGGGATCCATCAGCAGTACGCATCCACTACCGAGAATATATATATATATATATATATATATATATATATATATATATACACACACATAGATATACACACAAACAGGTTTGATTAAAAAGAACCGACAAGGTCTATGTTGTGCCATAGTACCTATTCTTTGGTAATGGACTCTCCCATAGATAATAAGTAGGAGTAGCAGTGGCAAGTCTGGCAGAACGGTGTTGAGAACGTCAGTCGAGATTCGGACATTTGAAGTACCAACCATCCCAACTAGATTTGCTGCGTCATTGACTATTATTTTTCCAAGTTCCTAACGTTTTGTACGACTTATTAGAAATACAAGCCTCCACTGTGAAAATACTCCACAACAGTCTATCTGTTTAATTTTTTATATTTTCCAATTTTGGGATAAAGTGTTGGGTATTGTGCTTGAAATTATAGATAAGTTCGTATTTTATTTTTGTTCAAATGAATAAAATAAAATAAAATAAATAAATAAATAAATCGTATTCTTTTTGTGCAGCTTCGTTCCCAATATCCGTTACACATGACGTCACACTCGACCATTTCAACAGTCCAGCTTCCCAAAGAATGCTAGGCATGCAGACAAAATAATTCTATCACACAGGCACAGTATCGGTTCTTCATACAGACTGCGAAAGTCGAAAGCACTTGAACAAAAATAACAAAATATGAACTTCGGACCTTGTTTAGATGAATGCTTGGTGCTGAAATATACTTTATATATATATATATATATATATATATACTGTTTCGCTGAATCACATCTCATCCGTGTGGCTGTACATCCGATTGCTTCAAGCCGGGATAGAAACTCGACCGATTTGACGATAAAGAGAATTTTTTACGCATTATATACATAATGTATATAAACGCCGTGCCAGCCGTCATAGCCCTCAATTCTTAGGAAGAGCGATGTATTTAAGGCAGCAGCAGTCGCGTTAAAAACTCCCTTTCCCCTTAGTACTAAATCAGCGAACGATATATATATATATATATATATATATATATATATATATAGGGTGTCTATAAAGTTCGTGTGCACTTTCAAAAAATTATAACTTTATTTGTATTTGCGATAGAAATAATTTGTTAAAAGGATTAGAAAGAAGTAAATCTATATTTTTTAAGATTTTATTGGAAAATAAAGTTTCCACATATCCTCCATCATTAGCAAATACAAAGGGTAATTCGATTTTGCAGTTCACGGAAAACATTTGCAAATTATTTTAGCTATACTTAAAACTCGGTACATTAAAAATTTATAAATAAGTTATAAATTTCTTAAAGTGCACACGAACTTTATGGACACCCTGTATATGTTTGTTTTTGTGTGTGTGTGTGTGTGTGTGTGTGTGTGTGTGTGTGTGTGTGTGTGTGTGTGTGTGATCAAATATAGTTTTAATGTATGCTATATTTATTTTGTAAAAGTTCTCTATACTGAGTGTGTAAATATAACAGTGGACATTGAGGTCAACACATCGCCTGTTTCGTCCTTGAACGATGTCTTTGGCCCAAAACAGACTGTCGCCTGCCGGCGTTGACCTCAGTGTCCAATCTTATGTTTACACACGTTCTATCTCCGATATAGAGCACTTTTACAAAATAAATATAGCATACCTTAAAACTGTGTGTGTGTGTGTGTGTGTGTGTGCACGCGCGCGTGTGTGTGCGAATGAAACCGAGGGAAGGGGAAAGAGACTCACCTGTTATACGCCAAGCAACTGAATTGTAATCTGTAAGATCGATATTTCTCGAGTAAAAAGAATTTTACAAGAACTTTAAGTACAAATAATACAAAAATATGGTTTAAATAAATTTATCACAGATTCTTAAGAGCTTTGTACTTGGGATTCTCAGACATCAGTTCAATAATCTTTTCTTCTCTCGTTTATGGAACTCTCTACCGGCCTCTTGCTTTCCCATCAACTTTGACCTTCAAAATTTAAATGCAATGTCATCTTTTGTCTTCTTAATTTTTGTTCTTTTATTTCCCCATCCTTTTTGTAAATCAATTTACCCCAAGAAAGACGATAATACCATTAGTAGGCAATGGGCTACTGGAAGGGAAAGAGAAAGAAAAGACTTTAGACGGAACCAGAAATCCAATAATAGTATAAATTTTAGAGTTTAGGTGGTGACGTTAGAAGAATCCCAATCCTATCACGATCAGGCTTTTTAAGTCCTTGGTCGTGCCCATCCTATTACATGGTTATGAGATCTGAAAATTGAATCAGGAAGATGATAAACTAAGATGCAATGAGTTACTGGAAATGAAAGAGAAGAAAATACTTTAGATGGAACCAAAAATCAAATAATAGTATAAATTTTAGAGTTTAGGTGGAGATGTTAGAAGAAACCCAATCCTATTAAGATCAGGCTTTATAAGTTCTCGGTCATGACAATCCTATGACATGGTTGTAAGATCTGAAAATTGAATCAGGGAGGTGATAAACTAAGATGCAATGAGCTACTGGAAGGGAAAGAGAAAGAAAAGACTTAAGAAGGAACTAGAAACCCAATAATAGTATAAATTTAAGAGTTTAGGCGGTATTTCAGAGTTTAGAAGTATAGAGTTGAAGTAGAATTTAGATGGCCCGGAAGCCCAATCCTAAACAGGAAACAAGCGATAAACTCTAACCCTGTTCAAAATACGGGGAGGATTGTGAACTGGACAATACTTGAACCTATCTCGTATTGCGCAAAAAATTTAAAAATAGATAAATTGTAACGGTCTGATCGGTCCGATAAGGTCAAATTGGCAGCTGATCTAAAAAAATCACCTACATTCTGTTGGCAGCTGGGACAAGTAATGGGTTGTTAATTTTAATTCCTCCAAAACAAAACTGGTCTCTATTAATCATCTGAGAGAACCTTTTTTGCCTTTCATCAGAATGGCTGATGCTAATCTCCAGGAGGGCGACTAGTTGCGCCTTCTCGTGGTAAAATTTCCACTGATCTGAAGTGAAAAAATTATATTGAATCGACTGCTAGGTCAGCTGCTAGGAAAGTTGGTTCACTGTGTCAGGCTGTACTTTTGCATATCTACAGGTTTACCACTCGTCCATGCTACCAGGACAGTAGAACATCATGAATTATCATTCCAATGCTAAAAAAGTAAATATATAGGTAATGTTAAACTGGTGATATACAATAGTTTTTTTTTTATTTATGGACAATATAAACTATACATTCATGTACTTTTAAAATCATAATGTCTATATAGTCATATTAATGATTCATTCTCAGGATATTTTTAAATCGAATTCACCCCAAGCATGGCAGTAAAGCCATCTAAAATACAAAGGTTTACCGGGTGCGGAAGAATTAGAAAAAGAAACATTACTAAGGAACGAGAACAAAAGAAAGACAGCAAATAGCGATTGGCATTGTATTTAAATTTTTAAAGATTAAAGTTGTTTGGAAAATATGGAGCTGGAAGGGAGTTATACAAGTGAGAAGAGCAAGAAAAGAAACTGTTAGCATAGAACTTATGGCTACTCTAGCCAACTGAAGCGATATACTAAACTAATAACAAGGTCTCATCACTTTACAGTTAATAAAGTCTAAGTCCCATAGTGAAGAGCGATATGCATTTTCGCTTATTTACAGAAAATGTGGCACAAGGCCAAAATGGTGTGTGGTAAAAAGGACGGTCTTCTTCTGTCTTAAATTTAAACTTAGCTAGCCACAAACACTGACCCAAACATACAAACAATATTCCTAACACCAAAACAATACATTCTTACTTACCTTTCTTACTACACCCACCATAATACCTCATTGTCTCTATGAAAATCCTAACTAGTCCCCTTATATACAATTCATTGTCTGTGGAAGGAGAGGAATAAAACAATTTAAAAACTAACCCCAATGAGTATTTACAATATGAATACAAATCTATTTCCAAGAAACAAAACAAAGCGAAGGGCTA